TTTTACTTGGGAGACTTAGCTGAACACAAATATTAGTGTTTCAAAACAGTAAAATGTATTACAACGATGATATCGCCAGTAAAAGTGAAGTTTTTTGCATTTTTCACACACAAACAGCACTTACACGGACGATGTTATTGCTGTGATACTTTTTACAGTTTTGAAACACAAATATTTGTATTCAGCGAAGTCCCTCATGTACAGGTTTTATGGTGTTTTCAAAAGTTACAGCGTCAAATATAAGGCTTGTGCTTCATTTTTTTCACATAAAAATTCTTCAGATTGGTTACGTTGCCTTTGAGACTGTATAGTAGCCCAGGAATGAAATTTACACCCATAATGGCATACCATTTGCAATAGTAGACAACCCAATGTATTGCAAATGGGGTATGTCCAGTCTTTTTTTGGTAGCCACTTAGTCACAACACTGGCCAAAATTGGCATTTTTTGCATTTTTCACACACAAACAAATATTAACGCTAACTTTGGCCAGTGTTTGTGACCAAATGGCTACTAAAAAAGACTGGACATACCCCATTTGCAATACCCTGGGTTGTCTACTATTGCAAATGGCATGCCATTATGGGTGTAAATTTCATTCCTGGGCTACTATACAGTCTCAAAGGCAACGTAACCAATCTGGCAAATTTCAATTTCAAATGTAACGTGCTATATTTGACCCTGTAACTTCCCAAAACACCATAAAACCTGTACATAGGGGTACTGTTTTACACGTGAGACTTTGCTGAATACAAATATGTGTATTTTATTGCAGTAAAAGCAAACAGTATTATGACATTGACAGTTAAAATGTCATGTAAAACTAAAAAAATAACAACATTTCTTATTTTCTCCCATTTTTTTTTCATATTAAATTATTTTTCATAGCTAAATATTTGATATTAAATGAAAGCCCTGTTTCCCCTGAATAAAATGATATATAATAAGTGTGGGTGCCTTTAATATGAAAGAGGTGAATTACGGTTGGACAGACATGTAGCTCAAATGCCAGGTTTTGTTTACGTTTTGTTTTGTTCACAACGTGTACATTTGGCTCAGTCCTTAAGGGGTTAAACCATTCTTGAACAATTTTTGCAGTGTGGCACATTTCATTATCCTGCTTGAATAGGCCACTGCCATCAGGGATCACCATTGCCATGAAGGGGTGTACATGGTTTGCAACAATATTTAGGTGGCACATGAATGTCACAACCCAAGATTTCCTAGCAGAGCATTTCCAAGAGTATAAAATTACCTTTGCATCCAGCTGTCATCTCTTTCCCAGGTAAACAACACACATGCACCTGACCATCCACCTAATCTAAGGTAAAATATTATTCATCAGCGCAGACAATCTTATTCCATTGCTCAATGCTCTTGTTTTATGCTTATCTCCCCAGTGAAGGCACGTTCAGCTTTGAATAAGGGTCATCATGGACACTCTGACTGTTCAAAAGCTATGCAACCCTCTGCACAGCACACTGTGATGCACTGTGCATTCTGACACCTTTCTATCATTGCCAGCATTATGTTTTCAATCAATTAGAGCTACAGCAGTCATGTAATTGGACCAGACAGGTTAGTCTTCACTTCCCACATGCATTAATGAGCCTCGAACGTCCATGACCCTGTTGCGGGTTCACCACTAGTCCTTCCTTGCACCACTTTTGGTAGTTATTAACCACTGCAGTAGCACTCCACAAGGCTTGCCGTTTTGGAGATGGTCTGACTCAATCATCTAGCCATTACTCTTTCTTCCTTGGCAAAGTTACTAAGATCTTTTCACTTGCTCATTTCTCCTGCTTCCAAAACATGAAATTCAAGAACTGAATGGTCACTTGCTGCCTAATATATCCCACCCCTTAGCAGGTGCAATTGTAACAATATGATCAATGTTATTCACTTCACCTGCTGGTGGTTTTAATGTTGTGGCTATATATAAACTCCTGAAAGATTTATGCAAATTCAAAAAATTACTGGTGTACATTATCTGCTTATCCCAAGAAGAATAATATCCTTCTTGGGCGCAGTTATTCCAATAAATCATGTACCCAAAATTCTCCTAGAATTCCCAGGGCCAATACAAAGGTCAATACTGTACAGTTCATAGTAGATCTAGTATTTTGTCCATGCTTTGGTTTAAAATGTTGTGTTTTAAATGGGGCTCCATTGATGATGACTGCCTATAATAAGTTGCATGTCAAATTGCTAAAAAAAATAAAAAAAAATCCCAATTTTATTCTGGTCATTGCTCCTTTTGCTTCACAATCAGTCATTTGCTTCAAACAGCTATGTTTAAGTTTCGTTATGAAACACTGAACATACAGAGTTTAGCCTCTCTTCTGTCGGAGGTGTAACTTCCCTTTTGGCTTTGTAATTGGGTTATTATCAGCTAGTTATGAACTTGTAATATCAATTCTGTGCAAATTTCATTTCACAGAATGTTAATCATTGGCTAAGAGCATATGAATGGTGGTAGCTGCAGCTTCTGTGGGGCTGCAGATGCCAAACGTGTATCCACCAGGGAGCCTTGGAAACTAAACTCAGGGAAGATGGAAAACCATTACTAAATTACTTGTCCCATTACCAGTGAATTGGCCAGGGTATTCCTGGCTTCATAAACACTCTAGTGGGCTGTTGTGGGTATGATTGAAGTAACCCTTTAAATCATAAATTCTATCTCCTACTTTGATTTCCATAGTAATGTCAAAACTATACATTTAATAGACATAAAGTTGATTTAAAGTATGTTATGACAGAGTTATATTTTATCATCATTGGAATTATACTGTTAGGGCTTCAATGTAGTACCATGGGATTAGTTTCTATCCCATTTCATTCCATGCATATTATTTTTGTCATGTTTTTTTGCCACAGTACAATGCTTGTAAAGAGCTGTAAAGGTAGTAGTTTCTCTCTTTTATTATTAATAGGAAATACATTTACTCACTGATGGTGCAATGATGATATATAGTATCCTGCTCAGCATTCAGATATTGTAATTTTCGGTTACAATTGGCAGAGCTATATCAGGGGTGGGGAACGTATGGCCCGCAGGCTGTATAAGGACCACAAAATCATTTGGTCTGACCCTGTCAAGGCAACCACAGACAGGACTTGAAATTCAATAGCCCTAATGGCATTTAAACTATTTTTCACCTCAGACTGTGAGCTTGCTGACAGGAAGAGATTGGAAAGGGGGAGCTTTACCTTCTAGTGCTCCATCAACATTCAGGGTCAGTTAGGTTTACTCAGCAACACATGACAGAGAGTGATCTTGTATGTGTATTTGCCTGCTAGTGGGTGAGATTGTCTGCAGTGAGCATATGTGTGTCAGTGAGCTTGTCTGTAGTGAGCTTGAGTCAGTGATCTTGTCTGTAGTGAGCATCGCAAATAGTTGACTTTTCTGCTCCTTGGCAGAAAAAAATATTCTCCATCCCGGGGTTAAATCTAGGAAGTAATTTTAAAGTTTAGAGATTAGTGACACTTTGGGATAAAACATAAAATTTAGAATTATGTCTAAGGTTAATTTTAGCCTTACTCCTAGAGTTCGAAGTGAGAGCAGCTAAATTAGTTAATAAACCTAATTTTAACCCTCACTTAACCCTAAATGCTTCATGCCCCTGTGCTTTAGTGAATGCCTAACTATAATGTGAGAAACTAGCATTACTTAACATGCAGGACTTTGCTAAAATGGAGTTACAATGCTAGCTGATGCAGGATCACCAGTAGTGACACCATGGTCTTGCACATGCTCCCAGCCTACATCAGGTTTCTGGACCTGTCAGGAGTACTACCACACATGTGCAGCACAGGCCACAACTGACACCGCGGCTGCACCACACATGGCATGGGTCGAGATTTCTGATGGTACCTGGATGTCTGACAACAAGTAGACTGGGATTGAATAGGCTTGGGGTCCACTTTAACACCCCCAGCTAAAAGATCCAGGACAGGAGCCCCACATTTGGGGCTATAGACTCCCCAGTCCCCCCTCCTGCTTCCTGTCATTGTTTTACAGGATGCTCTGATGCCAATGTGCTGGAATGTCAGTGTTAGCAGGGATGACGGTAGGCAGAAGGTGCCAATGGAGAGCATAAACTCATACACATTATATATTGCGTGTGTGTGTTTCTCTTTAGTGTGTGCACATGTGTATAAAACCACCGGATTTTTAATAAACTTCTTCGCTCCTATTTTTATAAATACTCAGTTTTTCTGTATCCCCTGATACTTTTCAGAAGATAATATAAATCCGAGAGTATGTATACACTTACATGAGTTTCTCTCTAGTGTAGACCATTTATTGACTTTTCTACCAGATATTTACTGGAATAGATGTGGTACTTATTAAAAAACTAATACTTTGATATGTAAACTATTTAGAATGTATATGTTGTGGTCAAATTTGTCCCTGGAGTGGCATATACAGTATTTTTCCTATAGAACAAGGCAGTGACTAATACATGCCTTCATAACCTCAATGCATTGATGTATTCATTGTTCTTCTACTTAAACATGTGACAGAAAAGAAACAGCACAGGGAAGCAGGGGTTACATTATTTTTCGACCAAACTGCTTCAATCGTTTTTTTTTATTGCACTTTTCTAACAATTGAATGTCAGTTTTTAAGGGGGAGGGCAGGACACCTTTCTCCACATATAGAAATACAAATTCTGGATTCTGTTGTGGTGCTTTAGATCTGTTTTGTATGTTAATACTATTTTGTGACAGACACTCGTCACCAGCCAGGAGCTCAATAAGACCACTAAATTCATTTCACTCAGCTGAGGCTGCAATGGAGAATCAGTCTCTGGGGGTCAGAGAAAGTGTACTAATCTACTTTATCTGCTAGCTTACAGAAAATTGCATATTTAAGCCTCTTGTTATGAAATAGCTACATCAGTCTCTAATTAATGTGCTCCACACTCTGTCTGAGGCTGATGCACCTCCACAAACAGTGCTTTGCTACTGTATTACTTCTTCAGCAGGCAAAGGCAGCAGCAGCAGCAGCACACTGAGATGGTTAACACTGTACATAACCTCCTCGCAAATTGTACAGCTTCAGCAGCAACACATCCATTAGTCTGGAAAAGACAGCGTTCCCAAGTGGCTCCTGTGCATTTCCCCCCCAAATTCTCTTATCGCCAGCCAATCCTCTCAGCTCTTGCCCTGCATGCAGGGAGTGTTCAGCACTAATCAGGTCAATGATCATCCCAATACTCAGGGGACCTGACATGAGCCTATCGCCCTAGTTTGATGATCGCCCTGACCAGGAGGCACAGTGGCTGGATGCTTTTTTTTCTGTTGAAATAAAAAGATCATACTGGCAGAAGTGGCAGTATCCTCATTCACTACAAGAGAAGCACTCAGGATTTCAGCTTGTCGTTTCTCTTGGCTGTATAGTCAGTGAGAGAGAGAAGGGGGGAGACCGAAAAGACAGCACAACAAGCAGTTTCTATACCTGCTGGTGGGTGTTGGTATGCCCAGAAATCGTTACTGATGCACTTGATACTTGAGCTGTGGGACAGAACGCATCTCAATTAAGGTAAGTCATGCTTTATAGAATGAGGGAGACTGCATTCTTTCACGTCTATAAATTGAAAGTTCTGAGTAAAATGCTATTCTGCACTGCAGCAAGTGAGCTTTCTGTGTCAGTAAAATGCTTTTATTTTATTTTTGAAAAAAAAAAAACCTGCCTCAGTGATTGATATAGTGAATATATTATATTTTGACCTTTTTGTGTTGTTACTGGTGGTGTCAGTGTTAAAGGCATTCAGTAAGGTCTCTAGCATTGTACTTAGAGAGGCAGGTTATTTAAAGGGAATGATAGCATTAGTCATCCGGATTTACAAGTAAAAATAAATATTTCATGAAACATATGAACAGTCTTTGTTTTGGAGTTTGAGCTGAAACTTGATTGTGAAGTTTAATGGAATGAAAGCATGAAATGAATGCAAGCCATTATATCACTGCTATTAGCATTACTGTAAAGAGTACACAGGCAGATTATCTCATTGTTCTACTGATAGTGTAAAAGTAATCCGCCATGCAGTACCTTGTTACAGTATGTGTCTCTCTGTAGGGTTAAACTCCATGTAAGACAATCCATTGAAATGTGATTCTGTTACAGTGATATCCAGGACATAAAACAAGCTATTAATGTCAACACTCCGCTCTCTTACCATCTTTCTCTAAGAACATTTTTATTTATAGAATACCAGTCCGTATTAATAAGCATATGATGCCTTTGAGACTAGATGGAAGTAGTGAAAAATCTGTTTGTGGCAGATAAAACATCACAATGAAAGGACAAAGCTTTTGCAATGCAGGATGATATGAATTACAAATACAACAGTTTGTGATGCTTAGCTACAGATCACAGTGTGTTGATCAATGTTTTTACTTCATGGCTGGGAAAGTGAATTGATCATATGATGGCAATTTCTATTTTCTTTTCTTTTCTTTTAGATAAAGATTTGAGAGAAGATGATGATTGAATTAATGTTACTGTTTTATTATACCACTCTAAATTTGAAGTTTCTGAAGAATTATATTCAAAGACTCATTGCTTTGGCTAAGGTGACCTCTCTGAATGAACAAGAGTCCATTGTCCACTTGTGATAGAGCACTTGTCTTTAAGCTATATTGGGTTAAAAGTACTTAAGAATGAAAGGATTTGTGCTGTGAAAGGGTGATCTTTAATACTACTGATAATTAAGTCTTTCCATTAAGCTCCCTATAGGCTGTGAAAAGAAAAATAATAATTCAATATGTTTTAGTGTTGTATACTTATTAAGTAAAAAATAGCACTGGTTGGTGATGGACAAATGGTCACACGTCAAAATATAAGAGCAGCATATCATTTTGAATATGCAAGAATATATAATGGCAGTGAATTGTTTTTAGTACTTAATTTTGATAAAAACTATGTGGACGCATTATATCAGTGTATTAATATACCTTTTAGTGTTCTCAGTGGGATAGTTTAGCCCAATTTGCAGTCATTATTTTAAAGCTCAGTTGCTACTGTAATGCAATGTACAGTACATTGTGAAAAAGCACATCTTGCCTTGCAAACATTCTTACTGCTAGAATACCAATTTATTTGCAGAGGTCCAATATATTATGTAGAGCCGTACAAGAAATGAGGTGGTCCTCAGATATGTAAATATGTGGAATATATTTTAAGAGAGCCTTTATTGGCACAACGTTAATAGCTCTGAACAATGCATTATTGTGTGTATTACTTAGAGGGCCAAATGCTTGTCAGAAGTCCAATAAATTATGGCCTGTAGTTATGTTAGCAGAAGGGTTTATGTGAACACTGTGACACACTAGCTCAAATTAAATCGTGAGGCTTTCAAAAGCATCTAATGATTGGCATGGATTAAAGTAAGCTGAGTCTTATATCATTCAAAAACTTAGAACTTGCTATTTGACATAGAAGGAGGAAGGACTTTAATTCAGTCCAGTGTACATCTTTTTAAAGTCACATGACTAAAAGTGAATTGGAGTGGTAAAATACATGGTCAGCATGTGGAAAAATCACAAGGCTTACCGTGCCATATGTGCAGGGAACTGTCCTAAATAATAAATGTTTCTAAATATAAATACATTGTATTATTCAATTTTCTTCAAGGTGCAAAAAAGCAAAAGCTATTATTGTAACTTTTACTGCATATTTAAACAGTTGGTTCTATTCAATGAGTGCATTGATTTAAAAGGTCTATCTGTATTTTAACAGAAAACATGCAAAGTGGACAGCATATATAAATTATATATAGAGAGAATACTAAACAGTAAAGTATTAAAGGGGGGAAAAAAAAGTCAAGGGGATTCTTCCAGAACCCAAAGATAGCATCATTTTTTTTCATAGTGGAATTTGTTCCAAAGCAACTGAGGCACCAGAGAGTGTTCCTTGACCCCTGACATTTCAGATGTGGTGGAATGCAACACACATACATATATATATATATATATATATATATATATATATATATATATAGTTAATACGTACAATGTTAAATAAAAATCTGCACACCAGTCAAGCCATAAGACTTGCTTTTCCCACAGAAATCACAAATCTGCAGTGATATTACTACCGCAAAGGATTCTTGGTGGGCATATGCAAATTTAACAAAGAATCAAATTTTTTGCCTCATTCCATTTTAAACATGGATTCCTTTGAGTTTGTGTTTGCTGTATACAACAGCTTTGAAACACAACTTAGGAAAAGATGCAAAGCCAGTGAACCACTCATGGACAGCTATTTCATTGTTAATTCAAATCATCAGCATGAAGTTGGTTACTGGTTGCTTATTGAGGCTTGGTAGTACTTGATAGTGTTAAACTAATTTGCATATGCCCACCCAGAATCCTTTGCGGTAGTAACATCACTGCAAATTTGTGATTTCTGTGGGAAAGGCAAGTCTTGTAGCTTGACTGGTGTGCAAAGCCAGGAAGGGGTTTTCAATCAAAAATGTTTCCCTGCCATAACACACACACACTCACTCTCTCTCTCTCTCAGAGCATTTTGGGTACCATAATTACTATAGTGTGGTGCTTGGCATGTTCCTTTAATGCAAATATCTCATCAGCTAATGACAGCAACTTACTACATAGAATCACGTTGGCACAAGCAACAACTAAATATCGGAATGGAGAAGTTATCTAAGTGCCTTTGACTGCGCAATGATTGTTGGTGCCAGACATGGTGGTTTAAGTATTTCAGTCTGTGCTGAACTACTGTTATGGTTATGCACAACAGTCCCTAGAGTTTACAGAGAATGTACAGAAAATGTTGTAAATACAAAATACAGCGAGCAATAGGTCTGTGAGCAAAAAACCCGTAGGCATACCAAAATTAGACTGCAGAAGATTGGAATAATGTCTGACATCTTGATTTCTGCTGCATCATGCAGATGGTGGTCAGAATGTTGCATAAACATGAATCCATGCATATATCCTGAAATGATATAGCTGGTACTATTGGTGTAGTGGCATGAGAGTATTTTAATAGGGAGGACTGGGCATCCATTGGTACTGAGGGTTTAATTACTGTATGGGGCAATACGAATCCATGGAAAAAAAATGCAAGACCAATGACAAACCATTCATGTTTGGGAACTGAGTGTTCCCTGGTATGGTATTTGACGGAGCCACAAAGCATATTTTAACCCCTCCTCCAATCCACAGTGTTGAAGGGAAGGATCATTTAGCAGATTATCCCATTTGGTTTAGGAGTTCTTTAAGCTCCTATCCCACAGCCCTGGAGTACTAAATGTGCATCATAGGCTTACTACCCACTACATAATTAACCTCCTACCCATGCCACATTAGATGGTTAGCAGCAATTGGGCTTAAATATTGCAGATTTCTGCATTTCCACCTTCAAAAAGCAGATGAACAGCTGTGCCTTCAATTGTGCTACTTTGGGACCAAATTGGTATATAATCAGTGTTATATATATATATGACATTCAAGAAAGTGTTGCATTTGGATCATTACCTATGTTCTCCAAACCAAATGAGCAATTTAGTTACGGCTTCCCAGAATATATTCTGTGGTTTTACTCAGGAAATAAACAATTACATTTTCCAATACCGGGGTTTATTCAGAGCATAAGAGCATAGTGAATACATAGTGAGCACTTAGACAATTGCTGCTGCCCCAGTCAGGCTACTGCCTGGGAACTACTAGGAGAGCTAGAGGCATGCAGGATGACTCTCATAAATATTAGTCAGGAAAGAAAAAGATAATACTAATACAAGCTGAAACATTTCTGTTGCTGTATCTGTTGCTAATACAAAAGATATAAAGGTTCAAACAGTACTGCAACAGTGCTAGACAACCTATGTACAAATACACGGATCAGCCACAACATTAAAACGACCTGCCTAATATCATATAGGTCCCCCTCGTGCTGCTAAAACAGTACTGAGGCATGGCATCCACAAGACCTCTGAATGAATCCTGTGGACATTAGCAGCATATCCTTTAATCCTGCAAGTGGTGAGGTGGGCCTCCATTGTTCCTGCACATCCCACAGATGCTCAATTGGATTGAGATATGGGGCATTGGGAAGCCAAGGGAACACCCTGAACTTCTTGTCTTGTTCCCCAAACCATTTCTAAACAATTTTGCAGGGTAGCAGGGTGTGTTAACCTGCTGAAAGAGGCTACTGCCATCAGGGAACACCATTGCCATGAAAGAGTGTACATGGTCTGCAAAGATATGGGTAGTATGTGTCAAAGTAACAGACAAGTGAATGTCAGTACCCAAGGTTTCCCACCAGAACAGTTCCAAGAGCTTAACACTGCCTCCACTATCTGCCTTCTTCTTATAATCCATGCTGCTGCCATCTCTTCCCCTGGTAAACAACGCAAATGCACCCAGCCATCCAACTGATATAAAAGAAAACGTGAT